AATCCAATTACCATTAACGCACATCAGTTTTTACAAGAAAATCTGCTTGTTTGATCAAAGTCTGCTCAAAACTTGGGGTGCATCTTATAACAGAGTATTTTCACGCAACAAAATATAACTTTTCCAAATTTCCCTAATAAACTGAAATGAGTATGTAAATAAATACTGGTAAATGAATAAACAAAAGACAAACAACGTTGATCATTGACTTCATCTGATTTGTTGGTTCTAAAAAGAACTGGGATGGCTCTGAAAAGAATCGTTTGTTTGAAAGCTCGCCTGAGCTCAGCTACTTGTTGTCTTTGGCTTTGCTGTCTGTCTCGAACTGATGATTGTTGTTCACTTCTGCTACAATCTTCAACTTAAAGTTTAGATCATAGGAATGACGACGAGTGCTTGGCATAATTACTGAAAATTTATGGTATGCTGAACTAATGCTCAAAGATTAAGATGAGTTTTGCAACTGATGAATGAAAGATCTGTCAGATGAGTATTGTTTATAAACGTTAAAACGGATCAATTAGTATTCTTAACTTAAAACACTGTCTCCGGAGAAGGATGATGTGAGTGAATTAAAAAGTGTGACTTTTATGCTATTTTCCATGTGTGATTTTGCTATTGTTTGTAATGTGTGACTTTTTCGCTTTTGTTTTGAGAATGAGAGCACTGTAATTAGTAACTTTGGAAGCAAATTGTCGTAAGTACAGCGAATGTGGTCAACAAAATTTCCTGTTATTCCAGGTGCCCCTTCTAACAGAGTATTTATGTGAAATTTTAATTTTGCTTACTTGTCACAATTGTCTTTGAAAGTTTAGGGTGCGTCTTGTAACCAAGTGTGTCTTATAAGTGAATAAATACAGTACATGTAGTTTCAGTCTTAAAATAATTATATATCAATTAATTAACTGCTTACCACTTGCATCTGAGAGGACGAACAGTCTGGATTTGTAATCTCAGCTGTGACTTTAACACAGTAGTGCCTTGGGCTAAAAAAAAAAAAGATTTCATGTTTCAACTTCACATTTCAATACATGTATGACTACAGCTAGATGTAACTGAATTATATTGTCACTGTCATAAATTGTAACAAAAGCACTCACTCAAGAGCATAGAATTCCCTATGAATTCCCCTGATGGAACATCCATGCCTGTTAATGGGAAAAAAAAAGTTGTAATACAAGCAGAATCTATGCATATCTGATATGCCATAACATACTGTAATGTCAAGTACTTAATTTCTCTTTAACACATATGTCAATGATTTGGTGCTTTGCATTGCTACATGTAAATATACATGCAGCAAGCTGCCAAAGTTATCAGAACATCCTTGAAATTCTTGGGTGGTGTTCAGAAGAGGTCATGTGGAAAGGATGTCTTTAGGAATGTTCAGAGGTCTTCACAAGATAAGAAGAAGAGATGTTCAGTATTGATTTTGGTAGGCTGAGGCAAAACAGCCATGTCTTTGTTTGGTCAAACACACTATACTAATCCATGATTATTACTTGTAACTTACCTCTAACCTTGGCAAAACATTTCAAACAGTGTAAAAAATTAACATTAGAGGTAACATATTAGTGGATTAACAGCTTTTAAAGGAGGACTGTTAGGCAAGTGCTAAAAAAGGATAATCAAATCAACCTACAGTATTCATTTTCTGAAAGCTCGATAGTTATAGATGATAACTATATATCTTTGCCTCTAAGTAAATAACTTGCTATGATAGCAAAAGAAATAGTATGATCTGAGCTCTGCAAAAACATTAGAAATGTTCTTTCCCAGATTTTCCAAATGTGGCTTTGTTTTTCTTCTACATCTTCTTAAAGAAAGACATTTTGAAAGTTCACAAATTCAAAATTTGCAACCATTATGTAACAAAGAGGAAGGTGTAAATGCTCTCAACTTGAGCATAGAAACAAAACTAATACCATAATGAAGACAAATATTCACTAAACAAAATTTATCACTTTTATAAACAAACAGAAAACACTGACAAGAAGCCACCAATTATTATAGAAAAAAAACCTCTTCCTTTATGGGGCTTTCAACTGCACAAGATCTGGATGCACACATAATGTGAGCTTTACAAATGTTCACAAGGAAAACAAACATGGCAGCTTGACATGCAATCCCACAATCGTTATCTACAAAGCTGGTCTGTTCATGTAGAACAAGAGGAAGAGGAAAAACAACATGACAAACACGAGAAAGATGTTTAACAAGGAACATGTGATTCATTTAGTTTTACCAGTCCTTAGCTGATTACTCGTGCCAAAGCTTTACACACTTAGTACCAAGCTGCACTCAATTTGAGACCGCTTGATGAAGTAAGAACAAGGTAGGTTGGTTTGTGTAAAATGTAAGCTCCGCAAGTCAGAGTACTTCCGGTTAACACGTTTACGGTCGAGAAGGCAAGCGAAAATGTCCACTTTTAACAAAATCCTGGCAGTCTATGACATCACAGTTACAGAAAAGAACTACCGTTTAAAGATAACGCTTTCGCATTCACTGTTAAAAGCAAATGACAGTCTATAAATAAGCAGTAACGGTGTGAACCACGCTTGAGTTGGAATTAAGCATACGAATTAATTAAATGACCTTCACTTTCAAGCAGTTAAAATGGACGCAAATATGGCCCTGGCGGTTGAAAAGAAATCATTTTCAATTCTCCGAATAGTATAGCTTACCTAAGTAGCAGCGATCCAGTATCAACAGAGTAACAATTCCGACTTTGGCCTTCCCCTGGAGCGGGTTCACGGTCGTCATGTTCTGACGAGTTGACGGGGGAAATATTTGCGATCCATGTCCGCTTCTCGGCCTTCAGAAGCAGCGACAACAGCACTTCGACCTGGTCTCGAGGAACCAGCCCTCTTTCTGACGTCCAAGCACAAGCGTCAACCATTTAGGTTTGGATAAGTTCCCAAATTTATGCCATGTTGGTCGTCTCGTCTCCTCCACTTTCCTAATTGAGGTTTCTCGCTCGTACTCCCGGGGAAGGCCTGGCGACCAATCAATATATTAAGGTCACTAAACAAGAATTCTATTGGCTAACGAGTAAGAGGTCATAATCTTGTTTATCTATCCTCGACATTGATTTTTTTTCTCAAATCTTTACTCACCACCCTACTTTCGTGATGCAACCTTATGCAAAGAATCCTGATCCGAAGTAGCTGACAATTAGAAATAACTACGTTGAAGCGACAATATGGAAAAATGCAGTTTTAAAAAAATCTTGGTATACCTCTCCACCCCAACACAATTTTATCATTTGCGATTGCAAGGGCACAGCACACCCAGTCGAATGTCAATGACGGTAATTTCGCCAATCTCAAATGTTAACATTTATATTTAATTGTAACAGTCAGACATGAATAACTAACTGACTAACTATACACGAAGTCATTCTTAAGAGGCTCCAAAGGGACTCGAAGAAACAGGCAACACACCACTGAGAGAATCTCTGTTGTCATCATCTCGAATTGTTCCCTGAAAGGTTGCAGGGGATTACCCGCGGAAGACTTCGCTTTAGCAATGCAAGACACGTGTCAATTAACGTGTTGTCTTGTGATTTTAACGTGAAAGTGTTGCAACAAAAATTCACCAGAGCCCTTACTAACCTTACCAAAGAGTTACTGTCAATAAATTATCATGGGCTAGAAATTTAAAAAATATTGCGATGGAAGTGTTTATTTTTTCAATTCATTTTTGGGGGGGCCGAAAATGTCATCTTCGCCTCGGATATAGCTGGCTATGTCGAGGGTCTGCATCAAAGCTACCCTATCATCACTGCAATCTTGAAGGCGCGGCCAAGTGCGTGAATTCTTCCTGAAGTTTGAATAAGGAAAACTTTTTTTAGAGTATTGAGGAAGTTTCGTACATCACAAGTGACAGCTCAAGTTCGCGTCGACAATAAGTGTATTTTCATGTCAGTTGGTGAGACGCCTGACTGATGCAATCTTTCACGAGTCTTTCATTGTTCGCCTACTATATCGAGGTAATTTTAATAGCTCGTCAGGATACACCCACGACAAAAGGCACTCGCTCTAACCTTCAACTGGGAGGGGAGATGAGGTGTGAGGTTATTCCTGGTGAGAGAAGCGATTTTGAGCGGCGATGATCAACGCAGGTCACGCCATGTACACCATGGAAAACCTATCACTTGAAATGAGAGCCTAAAGCGAAGCGCGTTGTGAAAAATGCAGTCTCCTTCGCAACTGGCATCATTTGATCTAGTCACACAACCTACTCTTTGCCTTTTCCAGGCGTTTATTTGAAAGACGAGGCAACAATAGTTGCTATGAGCGCCCCGTTTACTGGCTGAACGCCTTGGACAGGCTTGAGGGAGAACGAGTGATGCAACGATAGCAAACAACAATTGCAAAGGAGTCTACGCAACATGTCATTGTGTCCCAAAACAATGGCCGAGCCTGGAGTAAACTTAAAGAACATCTATTTTACGCGAGGGCAATAATTACAATATCTGAAAAAACGCTAAGGGATCTCTTAAAATCAGGTACAAATTTCCCTGCTATTGATTGCTACCAGCTGCTATACAGCTGCAGTGAGCTGTATGTGAGGCTGTGTGAAAATCCGTTTTTAGTGGGAGGGGTAGACGGGAAAATACTTTTTATCATGACCTAAGGCAATTTAAATGAAATTAATATACCAAATGTGAAATAGAGAAAAGGTTTGCGGGTAGCTGATTACAATCAAATCAAAATAAGGGGAAAATGAGAAAAATAAAAAAACCCTCATAAAGAAAGCATATTGAACTTTACTCGTATCTTAGTATAGAAGTAACATGAAGATTTTCTACTAGTCTATAATCTATTTGCTACAAACTCTTTCGCTTTCTTATCTTCTTGTTTGCCTCTGAGAACTATTTCAACAAACAAGAAAATTAATTCTCCAAATTGAAACAAAACATACCAAATGGAAGTAGTGGAAAGGTTTGAGGGTCCATCAATGACATGCAGGAAAAGAAAATAAATAAGTAATATCCGTTATGAAGAAAATGACCTACATGTTTTTATTCAAACTATTTGTTACAAACATTTACCTTTCACTTTCTTATCCCGCTCATGTCCGTTTTTGTAAATCATTTCTACTACAATTTTTCAAAATAAAAAAAAATATATTTTCAACTGTCATACAGCACATAACTCATCTCAATTGCATATATTACTCATCCTGATGCGATCTTTGATAACGCTATCGACAGTTTTAACAAAGTACATTCTTCAAACAAAAGTTATAACATTAAATAATAAAACGACTATTTCCCTTTCGTTGGGCAAAAAAATAAAGATATTTTCAGTTGCCATTTATAAAACAAATAGAAAAACAATTTGAATACAAAATTAAGTTTCTTCCTGACACAGTGGGTCATTTATCTTGGGCTGACTGTGGTAGACAGAAGGACCAGCCTTGTGGCCTTTATGAAACCGCAACAACTCTCCCTCGGACGTTTTCTCGAGTATTGGGACTATTAGGGTAGACTGGCTTGAACACCAAACGCGAACGGAAGGTACCAGGAGTCTGATCAGTTCAGTTTATTTCGCTCTCTGAGGCTCTCTCTTTTCTCTCTCTAAAATTCAGTATTCACATTCCCCATACTGTTCTCTGTACATTTACTAAGGTGCTGACAAGGAGAATTTGTCTAATAACCAAGAATTTCTTTAGTTGGGGATCATTCCTTTACTCTCATAACATTAATGTGTGATTCAGTAGTGACATTGTTAGGAGAAGTTAGATGCTGGTTCTTAGGGGTTGAAGAGTTAAATACCCTATCGGTAGGCATGTTTGGGCTTACGGGACAACTAACCAAAACAATTTCACAAGACATTTGAAACGACTAACAAAGTACTTGAAACACAACCAAACTTCGAGAATTAAAACCTATAAAAACTTCCCGTTGAGGACACTGAGCACGGTCAAGGACAAACCCAAACACGAATAACGATGACGATCATCTTACGAGAATTAAGCTCTACTACAACGGACATGGACACATCACTCAAAGGGTAAAAATAAATGTGTGGTCTTGCAGCACATAACAAACTTAGGCTCACAAGACTCGTATAAGGATTTTTCTAGTACTTCCCAAACACTTCTAATTTTAATAGTTCATATCACGAGTCTAGGAAGGGATTGTGCGGGTACACGAAAGCTAAAAACATGTAATCTTGAGTATTTCCAGAAACTTTTGTCCTTGTAACTCTGACGCCATCTTGCATTTGAACGGATGTGATATCAAAGGGTCGACTATTATGTTCTACGAGGTAACAAACCCTTTCGTTGATCTTAAAGCTGAAAGTAATCCTCAATTTTTTAGCAAAGATGTTACTTGTATTGATCCATCCGCAAAGCCAGTGAGGCATGTGGAACAGCTCATAGAGGAGCTCCAATCGACGCTTACAACTGGTGACTTGTGCTCAGCTGGTAAAGTTAACACTTGACTCAAACCCTGATTCTTCTGGACCTGCAAGGTTAGAAAATGAAGTCAATTTGAAAAAAAAAAAAGCCGAGAAAAGGGGGTAATGAGGAGAGAGGAATGAATGGAGGCTCGAAATATTGAATGAAGAGAAGAGAAGAGAAACAAACAAAGGGAGGTTGGCGAGAAGAAGGTGAACGGGAAGAAGGAATAAAGGACAGATGGATAGGAGGACAATCCACACTTTTACGCAAAGAAGAAATCCAAAAAACTATACTCACTGAGTGACCTCGTTTGCGATGTTTTAGACGGTACGTACTGTATTTAGCAATACACAACTTACTTTATATACTACTCCACACTCCGGTCCACAGGAAAGAAGATACTGTCCTTCAGAATCAAAAACAAACATCTTGCCATAAGATGATGGTGAACTCATGTATTTGTACTTGCTCTGAGAGGATTTGTCTGAATCGCACCACACTGCCCCGTCGTGTATATCAACGTCAGTTAATCTTTGACCCATGCGGTGCACACTCCACTGTGAGAACTACGAGTAATAAGAGCAAAATTATTTGTATCAAATTTTCTCCCTTTGCTAGACTGGCCAATCATCAATGTCAGTATTTGGGAAACTGCACTCCTACCATTCCCCTAACCCAACATCAGTAAACAGATAATAAGTAAAGGTTAATGTTGGGTTAGGGGAGGGGTAGGTTCGCAAGTGCTTAGATACTGAAATCGATCCCTGGCCAGTTAGGAGAAAAAGATAACAAATATGAGTAAGCACAGGACGAAATTGCAAGAATCCGTAAACGGAAACGTGGCAGAAACATGTTAAACCGTTCCGGAAACACGACGGATAACCTGTGTTTCCGTTACCGGTTTCGTGACGTTTTCTCGCGTTTCCGTTGCTGCGGACCGGACCACTTTTACGTAAACATAACGGAAACATGGAGTTGCATGTTTCCGCCACGTTTCAGAAATACGGAAACATGTGATTTCGTCCTGTGAAGTCTATAGAGATTAACCCAGTTTACGTGACACGTAGCGAACAGGAGTTTATCATATATTTCGAAACATACATTGGTAGGGAACATATAAGAAAAGTTTAAAAAAATTGTCATGTAATTTTTATTTGGAGGAATCATCTTAAAAGGAAATTCCAGTCCAAAGCAGATGACTTCCACTATCACCCACATACCGCATTTTGTTTAGGTTTCTACAAAATGAGTCGTGTCCCTTCACTCTCGCCCTCTTGATCCTTGAGATAATTTTCGGTTTAATTGTAGGAAGCCATGAAAACGCTAATCAACGATGAGTCTTTTTCAGCTCCGCCTTTATGGATAATGTTATAAGAACTACTAAAAGTCCCTGATGGTGTTATGTTCTAGGGCAAGAAACCTTTTTCTGACAGATCGGCTCTTCACCAGGAGAATGAATGGGGGCCAGCGAACTGTCGGGGAAAACTGAAAAAATGATAGGTGGTTACCGGTGAAGGAATAGTATGGCATCCAGGTTTCACTGTATCAGTGGAAACAAGAATACGTTTCGGCGCTAATTATATTGAGCAAATCGTAACGGGAAATCCGCTTAACGATTGATTTTTTTTAGTGCGAGGTAAGGTCTTGATGATCATTAAGAAGGAGTCGACTGTATCGAGCGTTATGGCTAACCTTGCCGTCTGTTCCCATACTGTAAGCAGTGGTTTCGTCTGCGCTAAACTGCATTGAACACACTTCACCTTCATGAGCTTGCCAACCAATTAAACAATCATACGACCTCATATCTGTATGAGCAACAAAATAAGAAAAAACCACGCTTTTACCGAGTTTGAAGTAACAGTTAGTCGAGACCAGTTTAGAAAACTCACAAGAATGAACCCATATTACCCTTTTCAATATTGGATAATAAGGAAATGCAAACTCTGCCACTAAAATTGTTCATAGTTCAACATTGCACGTAGAAGGGAGGGAGGGGGGGTGCAAAATGCCAAGAGGAGTAACATTTTTCAAAACTTGAGACCAAAATTTTTCAGGGCGGAAAGATCGTGACATTCCATGTAGAGCAACTGACTCTGCACCTTAAAAATTTTCAGATTTAAACCTTTTTTGCGCTAACAGAGTATAAGGGGGAAGTAAAGGAAATTGACGGCCAGTGAAGGGGATCATTGGAATACTACAGAGTTTTTTTTTTCTGGGGGAAGGGGGGGGGGGAAAAATTGTTCCACAACCAAAATCCTTAGACTCCACAGGTGATAAATAAAGACCGATCCCTAATTTTAAGAAGTTGCTCTCATAACAAAAGTAATAATGCATAGAAAACGACTAATTATATCATTCTTGGCTCCTTTAACCCAACGGGAAAACGAAAAATACCGATCACCAGTTTACACCTGCGTTTTCCCAGTGGATCCGCGGATCGGTCTATTCAGTCAAAAAGTTAAATTCTATTATCATCGTCACCATCATCATCATCATCATCATCATTATTATTATTAATATTATTATCATTACTATCATAATCAAAAATGGGCTGCAAAACCCAAACAATTACACGTGCATAACACGCTGCATCGCGTGTGATGACTCACCAAACAGCCGTATCATGCCATCCGCTCCTCCTGATATACAAAGAGTTCCATTATGATTAAACGCCGTGCAGTTTATACAAGTGGGCACAGGATCGAGGGGAAGGAGACGCTGGGAGAAATAAGAAAAATTACACAAGAAATGATTTACCAACCAATAAGGAGTGAAGAAACCTTTCAAATCAAAAAGATCCAAATGGAAGAGGTACAGAAGGCTCCCTTCCCTCTCCCGAATGAAAAAAAAAACCTAAAAAGATGATGATAAGATAAAAAGAATGTTTTCGTCTTACTACTGATAGTCACCCAATCCCAAGATAACATACCTCGACCTTCATGGCTTTCATATCCCAACACTGTAACACACCCGCGCCGCTACCTGCACTGTTCGACGTCAACGAGGACATTTCACTGTATTTTGAAAACGATTGCGATAACCTCAACGATGACGTCAAAGATTTCTTATTTGCTGCCGCTGAACACACAAAAGCTGCTCCGGTAGGACTGCACGACAATGAGACTATTCTGGAAATGAAAATCGATTTTGTTTTCGTATTTGTCTCTTCCTTTGTTTATTTTCTAGCAACTGAACTGATAGAATGTTGTTTCAGTCTTTAAGTCGACGTCAAGTTTAGCATGGTGTTTGCAACAAGACTGGTGTGTTGGGTCATGTATCTTGGTCTGTTCTGAAGAAATCCCGTTAATTCCATGAGAAAGTGTAAACAACATACCTAGTTTGCGCAAAAAAGTCGATGCCTATTTAAGATCGAGAATATACAAACCACCCTACTGAGTAGCAAGTTTGTATGTGAAGGTACTGTCGTGTGTCAAGTGTGTTTAAAGCATGTCACGAACTTGTACCAAGTTCGAGCATCACTGTTCATGGTGTATGTCAGGGTCTTTAACTGACCGAGATCAGAGTTTGCAATAACCATTTACCATTCCTTTTGTATTCTCTGTGTAGGTAAAATTAGCCGCGTGTCTCGCGTGTTTGCTTCCATTCGAATAGATTAAGAAAAAGCACTTAAGGTGCATTAAGACGCTGAGAAAGAGTGAATTCCTTTAGCTCACCTGGGGTACTGATGATGAGAGTCAGTCGTGACATCACAAATGGTCTTTTTATTTTCTGTGTCAAAAAATCGTACTTTACCATGTCCAGTGCCCAACAGAAGCTGCAACAAAACAATATACACTGATATAATCCGCAATATCTAAAGGTTCTATCCACAAAAGACATGAACATGAAAGTAATCAATCATTATTTGACTAGCGACAGAGATGGAGCATAAAACAGAATGATTTTCTGTGTCAAAAATCACATTTTACTATTTCCACTGCCTAACAGAAGCTACAACAAAAACAATACACAATGATATATGGTCTGCACTATCTCAAGGTGATAACATGAACACGAAGGTGATAAATCTTTATTTTGACTAGCGACAGAGATGGAGCATAAAACAGAGATGTTCAATTCTGTATTGATCAGAGACAGATCGCTGACTTAAGGCAAAAAATGAGTCTCAAGTCATTTAAGAGAGAGAGTCACAATTTGAATAAACATCAGACAAACTTGAAAATATAAACAACAAATTTGTAATAATTATTAAGAGATATAAAGACACAAGTTGTACATAAACTTTAACCCTCTAACTCCCATGAGTGACCAAGACAGAATTTCTCTTTACAATATCAATACAATATCAACCAGATATGTGATAAGAACAAAGAAAAATTTCAATATGGGGATAATTGGTTGATCCAATATTAAATTCTCTGAACTAACATCATAAGAATTGTATGGTTGACAGTAAGGAGAATTACAAATTTGGTCCGGGAGTTAGAGGGTTAACTGGGTTGACGAACTTTTCGCTTTAGTTCACAGAACAACCTGCAGAACCACTATATCAAGTAACAGAATTTATGGCATTTGCACAAGCATGTGGAAATGTATACTGAAAAGGCAATTTAAACAAAGGCTTGAGCATATTTTTTCAAATTCAAGTTTTAGAAAAGCAGTGTCACAATAAAAGCTACATGAGTAGAAGCTTGACTTTGACTTACCAGTCTGTCAGGCTTCGGAGCCCACTCCAGTGACAGCAAGGGAGATTTACACATGACAGTGCTACTGGTGTGGATGTCAGGATGGTTTGTCCAAACCCTAGTCACAAAAGGTTTAGAGATCAGATGAGAAGGAAACATTTCACTTACTGCCCTTACTCTTACTGGCATTTAGTGCTTCCAGGTTCATGTTATGTTTTGTGCAATTCTACAAGAAAAACTTAACGAGGATGAAGAAACAAAAATACAGAATGAATATTCATTGAAGAGATAAATGTTTGAAATAAAATTTTACACTGATCTTACATGTAACTGCACATTTTCGCAATCAACCATGAAGAAAATCATTTGATCAAGCTTAACCCTTTGACTCCCATGAGTGACCAAGACAGAATTTCTCTTTACAATAATTATCAACCAGATAAGTGATGGGAATAAAGGAAAATATCAATTTGGGGATAATTAGTTGATCCAATACTAAATCCTCTGAACTAACATTAAAAGAATTGTATGGTTTACAGTAAGGAGAATTACAAATTTGACCTGGGAGTTATAGGGATAACCCTTTACAACCTAACATCAGTATGCATATTCTCCATACTGTTTTCTATACATTTCCTAAGGTGCTGACAAGGAGAAGTTGTTTAACAATCAAGAGCTTCTTTAGTTGGTGATCATTTCCTTTTTTCTTGTGACATTTATGTTTGATTCAGGGGTGACATTGTAAGGAGAAATAGGATACTGGTCACTCTTAGGGGTTAAAAGGTTAAAGACCCTGGGTAATCTTAACATGCCCTTCACAACACAGTCAAGGTTGTGTGGTGTAACACCCTCACTTCAACATGAAAACGATTTTATAAAATTAATACAAATAGGGAAGGAAACCATCACAGCACACCCTCAGTGTGAAAAAAAAAAAACAGTAACAGTCCCTTACTTGACAATCCCGTCAGCATCAGCACTTCCAATCATCCTACCGCTAGAAGAAAACTTGCAGTGCACAATTGCTGAGTGATGCTCTTTGTATACATCCTAGGAATAATACATCACTAAGTTTGAATCAGCAGATCATTTACTTTTATTATTCAAACACTGATCTTGATAATCATTGTTTCCATATGCAGCATTTAGAATAACATTAGTCTTCTGACAATGACGAAAGGCACAAATTTCAGGACACCAGTCAGAGCCCTTCCCCCCCCCCCCCCTTTTATTTCAAGCCAGAGTACATTAAAGGTAAACCTGTGAACCTGCTTGGAAAGGGTATGAAATTTAATGATGTCAGTTATTGTTGGGAAAGGTAAAACAATTTGACTGCAGCAGTGATATTATAAGCCATTGATCTTGTTGAAATGCTATATGGTCTAACATGGCTGAGAAATATATGCATTATAATCCCCATGTTAAGCCTAGGTGCTTTTGGGAAGAACAATGGAAAATATGTTTGTATAAATAAAGAAAAAAATGCATAAAATACATGTACCTGGCTAAGACATAGAAAATGCTTGGACTTTTGGTCACCAGGGCCTGGAAAAGATATATATTAAGAAATTATTCAGCTGAAAGGAGATCCTGTATATTACAGTGAGGGTACAGGCCATGTAATTTATGGCTTTAACTGAGCTTCCACCTCTCAAAATGAGAACAAATAAATGAGGAGTGACTTCTACCTCTTCCACAGCATGTAATCACATACACCTGAGAGATATTTTTGATGTTAGATATTCAAAGACAGGAGTTCACTAAAATTACCTGATGTTCAAAGCTCATACAAATACCTGCAGTACTACCAGAAAAATCAAGCTACAGTGTAATTACATTGATCCATGTGAATATCATGCTCACCTTCAAAATGAACTGTTTTAGAAAGTGCATCTTCTAAAATTGATAATAAAAATAAAAACATGACTGGTTAAATATCTATAGTCCCTTGGTTACAAAAAAATACAATAATGATCTTAACCAACTGTTACCACTTATTCTGTCATGCATTTTTTAAGCTGTTCTAAGGCCAAATTGTAGCAAGACTATTGCCAGTTCAAAAGGGTTTCCAAGATAAGTATTGTTTATGTAATACCTAGTGTGAATAGTCATAGGTTATCGTACTCTTGACAACTAGAACTATTGAGTAAGATCAAGGTATAAAACAGTTTTCAAAACAGCTCTTAAACACCCACCTTCAGGATAACAGGAGGGGTTGTCATTATGGGGAGGTACATAGAGTACCTGTTGTAGTGTTTTATGATATTGGCTATTTTGAAGGATAATGTGAGACAGAAAAAACATGATAAATCAATAAAAGACAAAGCAAAATTTGACTTTCAGATGGGAAGTGTCCACAAAACAAATCAAGAGTAAGGTTTGGCACATACAACAGTTTTTGCAACATTCAATGTCAGACAAAGTGTTTTCTCCCTAGTGTGTAACTTAAACAGTTATGACCCTCACTGGTTGTCATTGCCATGATAGATATGTGAAGATTAAATACACCTAAATGTAAGAACTTTCACCTGAAATGGAAAGAAATCCCTCCACCCCCCACTTCCACCTCTGCATGAATGGTTACCTGTTTTGTCTTCTGTTACCTCCACCTGAGTTGCTTTCAGCCTTACAGGCAATGTTTTACTCCTGCGGATAGCATTTCCAAACTTTTCTCTGTCATCTTGGCTTGCAGCAGAGGATGTTTCAAAGCTGAGAGTTTTTGACAAACCTAATTTTGAGATCCTAGCATCCTCCTCATCATGTGTTGAGTCAGTCTGAACTTCAACCTCCTGACCTTGAGGTTTCTCAGATGAAGCAGTAACTGCACTTGACTTCAGCTGCTCTTCCTCCATGTGGGATAAATGTTTTTGCTGTTCTTGTAATTGCTTTAGAGAAAAAGAGGGCAAATATAGTACATTCAATCAACTGACTCTTCAAACAAAAAAAAAACACCTTTAGTGCAACTGCAAAAAAAAAAAAGTGATCAGTTGCGGTAGTAGCCATTGGAAATACTGCTGTACATGTAAAAATCAAATCAGGAGGTCAAAAGTTGCATGGAATCAGATCCACCAATCAGTTGCAATAAAGCAAGTGTACAACAATTCCCTCTGAAGAAAAAACTCTTTCTACAGTACTGTATATCATTCAATTTACACCAGTTTACTACTCCCAAATTCCTTTTTTCATTTACATGTATATGCACTTGACATCATGGAATAAAATCCAACTTCCAATTTTTATATAAATCCAGACAGGAGAATGATTGAATGTTCAGTTGTGTGACTGTTTACAATTTAGAAAGGCAATGAGATCATCAGATTCTATGATTTTCACAAAAGAAGATTAGAGGAACAATTGGAGGGCTCAGAGCAAAAATGATCCCTTGATTTTTCGGCCATTTTTGAAAGTGTTCAGAAGTAGTTGAATTTTGGCATGTGGACACTTTAAAAAATGGCCGAAAAATCAAGGGATCGTTCTTGCTCTGAGCCCTCCAATTAACACTCCTCCAGATTCTTCTAATTGAGACAAAAAATGACTCAAGAGGTTGTGGTTACTTAAAGAAATTTGAGCAGTGAAACAATCATTTAAAAAGTGCTCTCTTATGAGAACTGGGCATTTTTAAAAGAAGAGGGTGTTGACAAGGGGTGACTGGGAGTGTATTTTTAGTCTAAAAGTAATTTTTGAACCATGCTTGGTACTTGATTCAAATCAATTTTTCCTATGAAATGTAATAAAGACAATCAAAGACAACCCAATAAAAACTGTAGTGCTTTACCTACTTGCAAACTATCTAATGTATTTAGCGCAAGGAGAATAAAAGCCATGAGCAAATTAAGTGAATTTAAGTGTTCCTGACCAGCATTTTTGCCAACTACCCATTTTTCAAGGCACCACCTACTTGAATTAGACAATGCAGTAAAATACCTTTCTTTATTTGAAATAAATTTCCGCAGAACGATAATGTGAACTTGCTTTTAATACAAAGAAAAAGATTAGCTGTGGACCAGCTATAAAACACCCTACATATACATCTCTTAGGATCCTCTTTCACATAGAACCTCATTTGAAACTCCTTTTCTGATAAGTGCCCTATTCAAACTATACAAGCTCAGTAATTAAATAATTACCCATAGGTTACCAAATTTCTCTTGCCTGTAATTGTTGTTGCTGCCTGATTAGTTGTTGTCTTTTAAGTTTCACTTGATCCTCTTGAAGCTGTTGCACTTTTGAATCTTTTCCCTTTTTGTTCTTTTCTTGCTTATCTTTGAACATTTTGGTAATTTTTTTTGAGATTGAAGAAGTTGGTAGAAACTTACTAGACTGACCTTGTTGCCTGTGAATATTAATAACACCTGAAATTAGCCTTTAACTCAGCTTTTGTTCCTTTAACCTACTGAGTACTGCAAATCATTTCACAAATTGAAGATTTAGAGGTTTGCTTGCAAGTATACAACATCTTGTAATTTTCTGGCTATTAATACACATCCAAAGGATCTGTACAGGTAAAAAGACTTACACATGGCAGCCACACACCATGGAAGAAGAAAATAAATACCTCTTACTGACTGAGTTAAAGGTCCATACTGTATGTTACAGACCATGTTTTTTCCACTCTGCTTTATGGTGCAAGTGTCCAGCACACAGGCTGTAAATCCGAGCAGAAAAACAAGGTTCCGTAACTTAAAGTATGGACTAAGAACACAAGGTAAGAAAGATGTTGATAATATCTCTGGATGAAATAGAGGGGGAAATTTTAAATGTGGACAAACTTTTGAATTTATCAGGCTATAAGGTGAAATATGGCCTCCAAAATTGACAAATCATAGCATAATTATAAATAAAATGAGAGATGTAATATATCATTAGTCTAGATAATACCTTGGGATAACTTGAAACTCTTCCATATCATCCTCTTCAACAGTGGTAGCTCTCTTCCGGCTATCTGATAGCTCTTGCTCTAGTCTAGATTTCTGACGCTGTAAGTTTGCTCCTTCGTCTGCTAGTGATACAACCTGCTCTTTAAGTTTCAGGACTTCCTGTTCCAACCTGTGCAACTTTCCTCGTTCCTCGTCATACTTTAGAAGGGTTGGCATAGGTTTAAAGCATTAAGGACAAATCTCACAGACTTTGTAGGAAAGACAACCAGCACCAGGGGTATACAGAAGTTACATTATTTTTCAAGTCTCATTGGAAAGAATCATGCAGTCAACTTGAGAAATGGTTAGCATTTACCATTGAGTTAAGAAATTTTTGCTTAATATATGTTGTAGGGCCACTTGCTTGTAGGTATTGGTGTAAGGCCAAGCAAAGGTAAAAAACCTTACTCAAATAACCCTTTTACCCCTTAGTGTGACTAGTGTCTAATTTCTCTTTATAATATCACCCTTGAATCACACATTAGATACCAAGAGTAGAGGAAATGATCACCAACTTAAGAAGCTCTTGATTATTGACCAAATTCTCTTTGTCAGCACCTTAGGAAGGGTACATGTATAGAGAACAGTATAGAGAATGTGCATACTGATGTTAGGAAGGAAGTTGTTAATAATTATGTGAACAACTAACCCTTTAACTACCAAGATCTGATTGTTAAATCTCCCCTCTAGCTGCCACATATTTCCTCATAAGCTAGTTACAAGAATTTGGTGTTAGATCAAGACAACAATTTCTACCTGATGTTTGAATATTCTCATCACCTGTTTGCTGGATAATGTTTAGATATTATAGGGAGAAGTTACGAGTTAATCACTTCTGGAAATTAATGTCCAGAAAAAACAGTTAAACTGCAGCCGTATGTGGAGTGGCTCATGAACATGTTTGCAAAATGTAGTTTTCTTTGACAAAGATTTACCATCAAATCACTAATGCAGTATGCCTATTCCAGTTTCAGTTGCAAAGTAGAATACTAGACAAAATCAGCATTCAAACAAGAATGTCCAGATTTAGTGATAAAGCTGCCTTAAACTATAAGCATGAGAGAGATCATAATATTATCAGATACTTACTTGTTTTTCTAGAAATTAACATGAAAAGTCACTTTTTCTACTCAAAAGGATATGCAGGTAATGAAACAAAGTAATCAGAAAGTTATGAAGTGAAAGGAAAAAAGTCTCTTGCCATGCCCTCTGAAAGTACATCTCAAATGTCATATTCTGATCAGGATTCTTGATGAAAGGAATGGCTTAAAAAAAGACAAACAGAACACTATATTAGGGGGGAAAATATTCACAGGTACAAGTGTATTATCTGTTCCATGATGTGAACAGTTTTCTGAGAATGAAGCTCAAGGGAAACTGTGAGCTTTTTGGAACAGATGATGTGTACATTGTATGTTACAAACATTTTGCAATGTACATCAAAAAATGTTTACAAACAGCTTACTGTGTTCTCTGCTGTGACTTAATGAACAAACAAATATATCCATTCTTCAAGGTAACAACCATAAAATGCTTTCTCATCTTGAATCAAATTTTAAACACAGACTTATCCTAGTGGACATAAGATTTGGAAACGAGGGAATATCACCTGGATGATATATCCAGTTTTAGCTAGGGAATATTCTGTCACCTGATGCATACAGACCAATTTCATATAAGCAAAAATTTAGATGGATCATAACAAGATATATCAAACCTCCATTTCAAAGCTAAACACCTCTCAACAAAACAGTTGTTTCAAGGGAAAAGGAGTAAGTTTTTCTTAGGACACAAGGAAAAGGACCATATCAAAACTCCTTGCACCAATTGCCTATAATAACTCAGCTGCCACAGATACTGTAGCAGAATAGATTTTGTCTATTGTTCATGATTATCAGAAGTTTTTATTCTAGTTAGCAAGCTGGATTCCTGCTTGGTCCAATCATAAGTGAATTTTCAGCTTGGTTGTTGAAATGAACAAGGTGAACTCTTTCAAGTTTCATCTTGATTCCTGGGATGAACTGACCATAATATAGGAATATTACCAAAGGGATCGATATCAGTTGCAAAAACCAAGGTTATGTTGAATTTGAATTTGAGAATAATTATTATGATGATTACTTCTTAATCTCTATAGGATCAGTCTAATGACTAAAATAATATAAGATAGTTACTTACATGTATTATCACATTCTGTATTGAGAAATTTTCGACTGAGTATCAAAATGCAAAAACCAATGTTATCGCAACAAAGAAATTCAAAACGGACACAAGTGGCTAGAGAGAAACCAGCACAATTATCATACTAGTTTATTAAGGACACTTAATTGAAAATATTGGTAAATCCAAAACATGATAAGGACTCAGAGAATTAGTGTTTTCACTGGTCAAAAATGCATTATACATTACTGTCTGTGAACAAAATCTGACAAAATTGTGACTTACCAAACCATTCTCTCCACTCTATTTGAGTCTGTAGCTCTGCTGTATACTTCTCAAAAAACTCCACAACCTTGTCATTTTTTGAGTTCTGTATGGCATGCACAATGTACAGCCGCAAAAGACACATCTCCAGCTTTTTGACATTTGAATTGTGCTGATAGTCTAACCTCTTGAAGAATCTGTCATTTAAATAGTCCCAGTAATCTCTAAGGCTGGTAATGTCATAGCTTAGGATGTACTGATACAACTGATCCACAATTTTGTCCACCTGAAAAAAGGAACTCTATTAAGCTTTGCAACGATAACATCCTGAGAAAATTTTTTTCAAGACTAGGCTTACTGTATGTATGTGTATCTCATGACCATTAATTTAAACCAAGCAATTTACATTTTTTTTTCAAATAGCATTCCCCAACAAGACCACCCACACAATGGCATCATTTGACTAAAACTAACACATTCCTTACATTTCCTTCTTTTTTCAGTATTTAAGAGCTACTAATTAATATGTAAATGAGACCTACAGCAACATGCCTCTAATTATGTAAAGCAAATAGATTCTATAATATTGTTAATCCTTTAACTCCCATGAGTGACCTCGACAGAATTTTTCCTTGCAATATCAAAACAATATCAACCAGATGAGCAATGAGAATTGAGAGAAATACAATTTGGTGATAATTGGTTGATCCAATACTAAATTTCCTGAACTAACATTATAAGAATTGTATGGTTGACAGTAAAGAGAATTACAAATTTGATCTGGGAGTTAAAGGGTTAATGGCATTGTCATCTGATTATGCATCTGCCCTCCAATATATCACAAGTAAGAACCAATCAAAATGCAGGCATAAATCAGTTTCTTATATAGAGCTGCTTGATGCATGATGCATATGTCATCATGTGTCGTGATTTCAGGTCTGGCACTACATTGCATTGTTATCTACTGATTTGAAATGGAACTCTGACCTAATCACAATAATGATTCCTAATAGAGCAATTTTAAATCAAGTGTCCAATCTGTGACTGGTCCGAAAAACTTGCAGCACTTTCTCAACTAATCAGAAGCAAAATTAAACCTAATCAGGACTTGGTTGCTCGCAATTCCCTGCTCTTTAGTTTTTTCAATTCAATTCAATTTTATTTGTTAGCAATACAATATTATCACAGTCCTAGGTGACCCGCAATTAGCAAGCTATTCTAGGCGGGCCACCCTTCTAAAACAAGTGCTGTCTCTGCTAAGGATCACATACCGATACAATTAAACAAAGATAATCATTAATAAAAATACAATTGTTAAATAAAATAAAATAAAATTAAGTCCGTTGAATAATTAAATAATCAATTGCAAAGTTATCAAGATATATAATACAATTGAAACAAGACTTAAACGAAGAGTTACTTTATCAAGAGATATTTACAAATTTCTGAGCAGCGTATATCAACATTCATCTCCTCATTTTCCAAAAGTTTTAACTTAAAAAAGTTTTTTTCATTTTGAGTTCTCATTGGCTCTTGATTACAAAGTGATTACTTTGGTTTTGGTTGTGCAACACTCAATCGAGAAACGCCTTAAGACGACAGTTTACCCAATGCGCATTCCTCACCCTGAGGATCTGTTATGTGCCAGTGACGTGACGTGAAGAAGTTGAAGTAATTATAATTGTAACATGTCAATTGCATATTTCTATTGCCCGAACAAGACTGCACATAAGCAGGATGGGTAAATCTTATACTCTGCATGCAGGTCTGGTAATTGGGCAATAAAACCTCGGCACGTGCAGCCACCAAGATTTAAACTTTCGCGAAGAAGGAAGCCAGGAAGATTTAAACTTTCGCGAAAGTGAAATTAAATTTCACTTAAATTATGTTGAATGGCGGCTGGTAATATTTCCTTAAAGTAACTTACCCGGAAGCTTTTGTCCTTATCTGCTTTCAAATCAGACTCAAAGCTTTTCAAAGTGTTTGAGAATCCGCGAAATACAAGGTACTCCTTGATTACGTCGTCTAGCATCGGCACTGCAGCCGCCATTTTTTTTTGTGCCTCGATCTGATGTGAAACCCGGACAGCGACGAAATGTTCACGACTACCGTGACTAAATTGGATTTTTTCTTTTCTAGAATTATATTTTGACAAAACGAGCATTCTTTGTTAGAATTTGGCCCAGCTTTGTGGATGTCTCCCTTATTTTCATTACTAGCTCATGGGAGTCGAAATTTTTTTGAATAAATTTAAACACCCTCCCTACCCTTCTAGCGAGAGTTTTTCCCATTCTTTGTGCACTACGCGTGACACTTAGCTACAACGTTGCGAGCGATCGAAAGTTTAAATTCTTTTTTCGCTCCGAATCTCTTGCCCTGAGAAAAGAGACCCAAAAAATTTCAATCATGGAAGCCCATGCAATCTCTCCTGATGTTGTCGATGTGATTCCTGCTCAGGTTATAAAGGTAAGCTCATCAAGAAATGTACTTACAGTGCAGACACCTTACATAACGTTACTTCTCAAGTTCATAATGTTACTGCCCAAGTTGAATCTATACTCCTCAAGGGAAAGAAGAAACAACATTCACGATCAAGACGTGACCTTAATAATGTTAAGAAAGGGTTAAGTCAGTGGCTAGGACGTAAGATCCAAAGATGATATTTTTAGACCTCTTCACAGGAATGAGTGATGTTTCTGAATTTAATAGAGACAATTAGACTTGCGTGCTAAGCGCCAACAGCCGGAACTCTCCCCTCCACTGCAGTTCATTTGAGTTCTCATTATTTTATTTGGTTGGTTTTAAAGGTGAAATATGGAGACCTGGAAGTGAATATGGGAAACACATTGACTCCAGCTCAGGTAAAAATTGAAGTGTTTTAAGAAAGCGGGGGGTTAATTATGCAGAACTGTACTAATTTTGGTCATTTTGGATAAAAAAAATTATATTGTGGAAATTGGGCTGAATTTTGCTTGCTTAACATGCGAAATTTATTTATTTATTTAATTTCTAGTTTAGTTTGAGCTTTATTTTTTACAAATCATCATATGGATCACTTTGTCCTTTTTCAACTAAAACCGTTTTGCGACAAACATGCATTGCTTCGCTGGTTTTATTGTTCCAAGAAAGAAAAGCTTCTATTGTGTTTGTTTTAATAAGACAAATTGCCAACGGAAAAAAATAGAATTTTGCATTCGTTGCCTAACAAGACATCCAAAAGGAAAGGAGTCAATAAAACCATTTGAAAATTGCTAGGCTGTTGCCTAAACGCACGCATGTCGAGGCGTTCTCGAACAATAAAGTTTAAAAAAATAAACACAGATTCTACCGTGGCCTTAAATGGTTCAATATTGGGTTATGCAAAAATTAAATTAATGGATTGTGATAAATTTGATTTGAAATACCACTTTGCATTACCTTAATTAAAGAAGTCTAAAGAGAATATTGCTGGCAAAATTTAGGACCTTGAGATAAGAAACTTAATGTTTTCAAGCTCCTATTTATTATTTCTATTCAGGTGAAAGACCCTCCAACATCAGTTTCATGGCCTGTTGAAGAAGGTGCATTGTACACCCTTCTCATGACTGGTAGGTTTACTCAATGTAGTCTGACTCTAGTAATTTTTAACCTTCTGAATACAATTTATCTTACCTCTCCCCCTGACATGTTTGATATCTTGGCAACCACCTATTGGCTCATCACCAAGGCTGCAGAATCCATAGCAACCCTGTAGTGGCACCATAACTCTGAACCACTCAGTGAACTAATTCATTGTAACTTTAACTAGTACCTAGTTATGGAAAGGAAGTGTCTGTAGTGGTCTGTAAGTAAGCTAAGGCTGCTAAAATGGCTCTTCGTGAAGTCCTGCACGAAAAAAATAGCTTGAACAGGTCACATGACTTTTCTGCTGAAGGATGAAGAACAACCCTTGAACTGTGTATGCATAAAAAGGAACATTACTGTACCAGTTTTTTCTCCCCAGAACTTGACAAAAATTATATGAAATTATATGAAGCCATAAAAGTTTATTAACCATTAACTCCCAGAAGTGATAAACATGTAACTTCTCCCTATAATATCCATAAATTATCCAGCAGTAAGAATACTCAAACTCATCATGTACAAGGTATTACCTTGATCATGCACCAAATTCTCACAACAAATTTACAAGTAAATGTGTAAGAGCCAGAGGGGAGAATTAACAATCAGATCTTGGGAGTTAAAAGATATAATGTTCTTACAATGTCACAGATCCTGATGCACCTTGTCGTGCTGAACCAAAGCTCCGTGAGTGGCATCACTGGATTGTTGTGAACATCCCAGGTTGTGACATTAGCAAAGGAGATGTAAAAATGGAGTATATGGGATCTGCACCACCACAAGGAACAAAGCTGCACCGCTACACGTTTCTAGTGTACAAACAACCTGGAAAAATCAACTACATTGATCAAGCAGTGTGCAACCAGTAAGAATGCATTTGTTAACATATTGTTTGTTTGTTTGTTTTTTGCAGTTTTTAAATTTCAGTCACTGTTTTTTATCCTACCCTGCAATAAGTAATCCATGCAGAGCCAAAGTTTACTTCTATATACCCTCAAAATATTAATCAGCAATAATTTGATGCTGAACTGAAAGTTAAGTATTTGCTAAAAGAATTGTCAGGTGCATGATTGTGTCAAAATCCCATTTTGATTGGAATTATGGCTTTGAAATGTTGACTTTTAAATTGTACCAATACATGTTTCATTTGAACTTCAAAGAAATTAAATGGGGTACTCCTTTCTTCAGAATTTCAATTCCATTTTTATCCTTTCACTGTAATGTAGCTCTTTGAAGCTTTTTATACTCCATCTTGCCTTATTTCTAGGCCTGGCTTTGAGCGTGCTAGAAGAAATGCTCGTGAGATGGCTGCCAAGTACAATCTTGGTAATCCTGTGGCAGGAAACCTTTTCCAGGCAGAATATGTGGAAACCAAAACTCATGGGTGTTGCAAATGAGGCTCAGGTTCAGGTCACTATGTACTGTAACCTGGCATTGAACATGGCTGTGATTGTCAATGGACTCATTTTTAAGTTAGACATCTTTATATTCCACTTATAGATGTTAACAACTCAAAGTCAGGTTTATACGGTCAGGGTCTGTGGGTGTGTTTGTTGAATATCTTGAGTTAGCTTTTGTGGGTACATTACTCGAAGAAAAGGCATGATGAAGTCAGTTTCCTCCTATCACAAGCATATATTGTAAACAAGTGCACAAAGTCAAGTCTTGGCAGGGCGAATAAAAACATTTTAGTCGGTCTCAGTGAGTTATAACTGCCTTGAATATCAGAAGCAAAACGCATCAGAAACTCAAACATGTTTATGAAACGAATTGTAATGGATTACACTGGCAGATCAAGAACGAACTGGTGGTATCCAGTAGAAATCCTTTGAATTCCTTGGAGCAAATTCAGTTTGTTGTTCACTACATAAGGTGGTGAGGTAAAACAAATACAAACTCAGATTATTTTCGACACAATTGAAAATTGCTTGTCTTTTTCGATTCTATAGTAGCCAAGAGACAAGATGACGAAAGACTGCCTTAGACTGCTGGCACTCTAGATCTGTTTGTCAGGGTTAAGAAGAGATAAGACTTCCACGAGATAGGGTGTGGTTTTTGCGAGTGCCCGCGTGGTCTTTTTTCGCGCAAAAGACCTTTCGAGTTTGCGGTTACGATTTCAGTTCACCTGCTTGTCTAAGCCCTTATCAAATGACCGACCACAGCTACTCCGTTTTGAGCTACATGTCTTCTCAAGCAGCCTTTTGGTCATAGCAAGCTTTGTTTATTCCGTAAGCTGAGAGATTGTATGTTTCTTTAGACGAGAAATTGATCGAAACTGGCGTAAGTCATCTAAAGCCCCAACTTTGTGCTTAACTGCGAAAAAACAATCATTTCGTGCGGCCTAAAACGGGGAAAAATAAAATGGAAGTCGCATACTTTTATCTTTATAATCGGATAGGATTTTCCAGTGGAGTGTCCCTGAGAAATTGGATTTTCAACGTTGCAAAGCTTTTGCAATTGAGCGGAAAGAATGTTGCTCTTTGTGGGATCATTTTCGAAGGGGGGTAAGTGACGATAGTAATGAGATAATTATTAAAGTCGTTTGGAGCGGCCTCAGAAGTTCTTAAGTCACTCCAAGGGTGTATCGTAAACACATTAATTGTATTAAGTATCTCAGTTTGTTAATATGAGTTTCCCATTTCTGCTATTGCCGAGGCGAAAATTCATTTGAAAAAAATACAGGTAGGGTAACGAAAGCGACATTCAATAATTTCCCACTGAATCTAATAAGAATGATTCCACTCTGTGAAAACAATTTTGGCCTAAAAATATCTGTAGTTTGAAATGGGTAAATGAGATTACCGAGTTCCACTTCTCGGTGATCTGCCAAGCACGAAAAGCCATTCGAGAGGAAACAATTAAATCAGCGGGAGGAGATAACACAGGAAATAAATAGCCCATATAGTTGCTTTCACGATGGCTATTTTCGTTAAGTAAACAGTTAGGAAATGTTTGTTGTCTTAACTTTTTACGATCATGTGGTGCAAGTGTATGCACTGTCCCTTTCCTAGGGGTCCGATCTAAGAATTTTTTTAAGAGAGGGGGAATTAAACTTAGAGTTTTAAGAGAGAGAAATACACAGAGAAATTATTGCACACTATCGCCTCAGTAAGCTAAGGAATATTGCAAGACAAGTAAATATTAGATACCGTATACTCAAGTGACTTGCGCTCCTGTCGTTGCAAGAATTTTTGGGGCAGACAGTGAGTAAAAATACCCAAGGGTCTGGTGGGAATAGGGTAAGGGGTTTGGCCCCCTCGGGATCCCCCCCCTCCTTGATCCACCACTTAAGCTTGTCAAGTACCCCACCACATACGGGTATATGCAAGCAGCTTCTCTGTTGCTGCCAGGAAAGTGCTCTTTAAAGGAGAGCTTAAGAGTAGTAAATAAGTTCCACGATGCGCGACGTCAGTTTGTGAGCTGAAAAACTGCATGGAGTGGAGATGGAAGGAACAGAATGTGCTTGGTACACGAACCGAAAATCTTTCCGTTCGTCACAAAAACCAAGAAAAAGAAAAGTGTCTTTTAAACTGGAAACTGCAAATTTTCCATGTTCAGAATTTCGTGGACGGGTTTAAATTAACTGCTTAAAAGCCAATTTTAGTTTAATCTTGCTTGCGATATAAGTTATTTAACGAGGTTGTGACCCAGTCATCACTATTCTGTGATTCTGTGACTCGACCGTTGATATTGCTATGGTCACAGAAGACGATTCTGAACAGGACAGAGTGTTATTCAAATTAATTCTTTATACTGAACTTTCCCTTTGGACAATGTTTTAGCCTTTACCAGTATTAAAACTTAAATCGTTTAAATTAGGACAATATCAGGGAGGAACAGTGTAGTCAGTTTCCGTGACTTCCGGTAGTGTTGACAACCGACCACGACTTGCATGCTTCCTGCGCAAAATTGTTCAAGGAGATTGCAAATCTTTCACCGTTCGTTTTTTTTTTCTTTAAGAAATAATAAGGGCCATTTTTTTTCTCTGTATGATTCATGAGAGGTACGCGATTATGACGCATTCAGTGTGTGGTGGATTCGAGTTGCATCTTCACTGTCGGCGGGGGCCAATCGGACTGATCCATCTACTTATAATTAAAAGGTTGAAGGGACAAAAGGCGAGGCGTCTATCATTTTTTACGCTTAGATTGTAAACCATCACCTTTTTTTTCAGTAAGTTTTGTTCGATAAGACATTCAGCCGAAAACTGCAACTTAGATGATTTGATTAAAAGTTCTTACGACAAGAATTAAACATCTCGGTAGAGGGGAATGGTGACGATAAAGATGAAGACATAAAGCTTGAACCCAGACCTCACAACCCGGAGATTAAAACACAAAAATAGTGAGACTAGTTACAGTATATTCCAGTGTGACTGAACTTCAATTTTCTTTGCGTTTCCTGTTGCTGCTCGGCGGTGGATCAAACAGACAGACCAATCGGCTTTACCGAAAAAGTGCGGTGTTCTTGCATAAACGAAAAATTCTAATCTTTTTTAAATTCGATTAAGAGGATATATTACCACAAGGTGGAATGGCCATTAGTAAGAGTGATAAGGAAAAAGTCGTTCCTTAAATTTCTCTTTGGCAGCTCTTCGGGGAGGAAACTAGTCAGGGTCTTGACTGCTTTTGAATTCATTTGACCACCTAAAGAATCGACGGTGTGATTAAGGAACAGAGATGAAAAGAGAAAGGTTGAATGATGGCAATGGGTTTTGGAAGATTTATTAAGTGTGCTCTTCAAATGCCCAGACTACCCATTGTCTTTAGCATGCTCTGCCGACCTTTCGTATACTGCACACGAGCAATTAGACCTTGTTGATGTAGCTTCTCTCAAACTTCAGCTTAAAAGCATCGGTGACACTTTGGCTATGGAAAGGACAAACTTCAATGCAAAGTTTTGATCGTGTAGGTTTGACTTTGGGCATTAGGCCAACCCACTATACTCTCATTAAAATCTCCTGGATCTCTCCTCAACCAGCCTTCATTCAGAGAGGAGAGTCCCGACCCAGGGGATTACTGAAATAATCGCAATATAGCCGAGTCAAAAATGAGGCGACTGCAAGGCCAAAACTACATCAAAATGAGGAAGATCAAAATACAACTGAAGAAGTCAGCGGAAAAGAACTGTAGTAAATAGGTAGGTAGGAAAGGAGGAGGACTGGGGATGACCTATGCCGCACAGGGGGGCAAAGGAAAAGAATATCTGAAACCTGCATAAAATTAGCGAAGGCCCGGATGCCTATATCCAATTACAATGAGTCTAATAAGGCACTTTTGATCCGTTTCCGTTCCATCTGACAGGAACTAAGACAATTTTTTCAAGGCTACGCAAAATAATCTATTGGCTTTAAGCTCTCCATATGCCACGCCCTTAATGGAATTAAATTAAAGAGACATAGCTTCCTCTTGACTTCACCATGCCGGATCATCCCCAGGAAGATGACGACCTGTTGATTTGTATATCCTGACTTGTGACCTGAAGGCTAACGACAGGTCAAAAAGATATAACTTTTAACACCGGTCGAAGGAAATCTCCATGGCGCTTTCCGAAGAGGGTTACTTAACATTTAAATCCACAATTTTTATTATAAAACGATTCTGTTAGGCTTCACGAAAATTCAAGTGATAACGATAGAACAGAACCCAAACTGCACTTGGGTTTTTTTCCCCTTTGAGTTCAAATCAAACCAGTATAAAAAATATATATCTCTCCTTTGTTTCCTTCAGTTTTCATCCCCGGTCCTATGGAATCTTCGAGTCTTCACTCTATCAGTGACTAAAATGATCCTAATTTTGTTGAACGAAAATTCTTCCAGCTTTAACCCTTTGCATCCTAACATCAGTTTACATTTTCTCCATAATGTTCTCTATACATTTCCTATGGTACCGACTAAGAGAATTTGTTTAACAATCAAGAGCTTCTTTAGTTGGTGATTGATTCCTTTATTCTCATGACCTCAATGCTTGCTTTAGGGGTGATACTGATGGGGGAAAATAGTTATGAATCACTCTTATTGGTTTAAGAGTTAATTAAAGGAACCCTAGGTGAGATCAGTCTGGTATCATGTGAGAAATGCAGCCTGATCATGATGATCATAGGATTACTTTTGTCTAATCTTTACACTGCTGGAGCTGCTAAAAAAAGAATCACCAAATTTGATGTTATGTGATCTTTGTTATTAGAACTACTAACGGTCGACACGAGGCGCCACTCTCACACTGTCCGAGTGAGATCTATTGATCTAAAGGTTCTTCAAAAACCGAACATTACGCCCGTTTTCAGCTTAACACGCTAAGGACCTTAAACAAACCACGACGCCGACAGCAACAAGGATTAGACAAAACAAAAGATCTAATGGGCACAACAGTATCAACACGTGCATTTTAAAACTTTGTATATTTCGTAGCTGTCCTCTGCAAAACAACAACCTGAAATCTGATAAAGTAAACCTTGTCGGAAAATTTTTCCATGAGAATCTCAATGAGGCGAGGGCTTTTACGGCTGACAGTTAAAATTTCGGCCAATCTACGGCTAGCGGTTAACATCTTTCCATTGTTGTCACCAGAATTATTTTTCTACCGTAATATCTTTTAATACTAACGGTTAAAAATTGTCAATTTTTACGCCTAACGGTTAGTTTTTGGCCGTCAGTTTACGGCTAACGGGTAACCTTATTGAGACCCTCTTCCATTTGAAACTCAACCCAGCTCACGCTCACGTAAGTAATGCTGAAGTTGAGGTGTGGCGCCGCAAGAAACGGTGAACACATCCAGCCATTCGCGAAATTCTATCCAAAACTAGAATTTTTTTTTTAACCGACGTCTCCCTCGGCGTTGCCTTTCCCACTTTACCTTTTGGGACTGATGCAAAGCAAAGTCGGAGTTTGGCGATATCATTACTTTTTCGGGGAGAACTAACTAAGTAACTAGCTAAACGAGGCCCAGAATCAAACCCGGATACTTCATGACCCTTTGCAGAGAGTTGTACAAGTGTCCGTTCACGCTTCACACTGAGATCATCAGTTCAAATTAATCGGTGACTAATAGGCAGAGGTGTTTCGAAAAGCATTTCTTTTAGGAATAAGAAAGATCGTGAATTCCTGCTTACGTCCCTAACTCGGAAACCCGTGGGATATGTCGGTACACCCACGTCCTTCGACACGGCCCGTGGGGCCGCCAGTTCGAAAATACTTGGCTCACACGAAGTGCTGCTCACTCAACAAAAGTGAACTTTTGGCGAAAAAAAAAATCAATTAGCGTGCACTGCTCGAACAAATCTGAACAATTCTTTAGCTGATTGCTCCGCATATTGATAAAATACTGATTTAGCTGTAATTAATCTCTTTATAACCGTTTGCTCACCGAAATATTTGCTACTCCTTATCACATCTAATGCGTAGAACCGGTTTGACAAGTAACAAAATATAATCGAAGGTGAGTCGAACGTTTCCCACTTAATAATCGTAACCGTCTGAGTATGCCTACCAAATAAATATATCTTGACTTGATCATGTGCACTGAGCGATCTTTCATATTTCCCTGTGGTCCAGTAATTCTTGCTCAACGTTTCAACCGCTGTTATTTCACCGTTAGCATGGGAGGTCCTAGAGACAGATGTATTTGCCATTTGTTCATTATGGCATCTCCACTATTTTCATTCGACGGGGGTGTGTTGCGTGTAATCGAACAGGAAGTTAGTGACCTTTTATTTTTCAATGCCTGCCCTGACCTCAGAGCTTCCCAAATAATTTCCGGTGTTGAAGATTCCGAACTGCGTTGTAATCGGTTCATTCAGTGCGGCGCGGGCGTGAGTCCCAATACAGCCTTAAGTGTAAATTGCACAAATATGCTAATAGTATTAGATTGATGAGAAACAGACCATATATCAAGCACAAAAACTACTACTGCTTGCAAGCGCTGAGAATCTCACCAATCTCCGCCTTTTTTATTCACCCGTAAACTCGAGAGGATATCATTTCATGCCTGGAGGTACTTTTGACCAAACATAAATAAATCGTCCTTTTTCATCGCCATAAATCCATTTAGCGTTTCTGGCACAAATGAGCCCAACTGTTATTTTCTTATTAAGACATGTTGTTTCTCTTTTAAACTCAATGATCCCGCCTCCTGGGTTGTGTTTATCATTCACTGCTGTGTGAGGTTTTACTGTTCGATTGTTTTCATTTGAGATATATATGATAGGTGCCGATAAATATTTATACAAAGCAGAACTAAGAATTTATCGGCGAAACACGACTTAAACCCTCTACCAAGCTGGATTATCTCAATCTGTGTAATCCGTGCTAGGAAGCATTTTTGTGAACTAAGCAAACTTTGTGATCTAACATTGCGATAAAAGCATCCTTTCAGACTGATACTACGAGGTGGCCCTTCAAATCTCTCATGCCCCCTATCACGCCCAGCCATGAAAGGTTTAGTTTATCTTCTCCATTTACAGTGCGGTCGACAACGAGCACTGTGATTGGTCGTTTGTCACCCCACCTAACTCCGTGTCAATCCCATCTTGTCAAGCAAAGCACATTTCTTGTGTTTTGTTGGAGCTGTTTGAATCATGCAAGCCACACAAAATAATCTGGGTTTGTTTCGCGTTTTCAAACCAACGATTCTTTTTCACGCACCTCCGCTGCCGACTCTTCAACAAATCTTTCGTCCGCCTGAGCTGGGAAATTCGTCATCGCTTTGGAAGCAGCCGGTGGGACCACTTGGCTTTGCTGCTGCTTTCACTACAACGCCTCCACCCCCTGTTAATGTCCAAGCGTCTCCGATGAGTTTTGATTCTCAGGCTGTTATTCCTTCTCTTTGTGTCGTGCCACAAAATTCTGATCAACCGCCCAAGAATTTTAAATCCGGTGCGTCCGTCTTACAAGTACTGGAGGAATCGGTCGAAAAATCGAACGCTTGTGTCCCAAACTTGAATGGAAAAGGAAGAAAGAAGAAATACCCTTGTCCGTTATGCGACATACGATGCAGCAACAACGGTCAGCTTCAAGGTCACTTGAGGATTCACACTGGGGAAAAGCCTTTTCAATGTACTTTTGATGGCTGCGATAGACGATTCGCTCGCAACGAGGAATTGACGCGCCACAAACGCATCCACACCGGTGTTCGCCCTCACAAGTGCGACATATGCAATAAGGCGTTTGGACGAAAAGATCATTTAAGCAAACATCAAAAGACACATCTTCAAAATTCCGAGAAAAAAGTATTTACGTGTGTTGTGTTGGGTTGCGGTCAAAAATACAGTCGCTCTGATGCCTTAACTCGACACCAATGGACTGCTCATTCCCTGACAAAGGCAACTTCTCGGGCGATCAAACGCCTGCCGCGTGATCCGCATGTCTTGAGGACTATGAATCCATGTACAGTCCCGGCCAGTGGTACGTGGTTGAGCTCGTAACACTCCAACTAACTTACCGTCCGGCTTAGACCTGATTTGTTTATGGTAACATAACAGTGAAATAATTATGGATCTGCTAAGAAACGTCAGAAACTCACAAGCACGTCCGCAGACAGTCAGAGAAGGAGACCGAAGAAACAAGCACGAGTTACAAGTGTTTCGTCGGCAAAATCGTTTTATTGTAGAAGCTAAAGTACATTAAAGGTGCTATCATCGCCTTGTTCCATTTATTACACGCTTTCATGGTGGTATTGAAGGTCAGGAGCGCGACCTTATCTGTGAAATTTAATATCGTTCGGACAAGTCTTCAATTCACCACTTGACGCTCTGGGTTTTTTTATCAAGACGCCGGCTGGCTTTGACATGTGACGATGTAGTGAAACAGATTTTCTAAACATCGAAAGCACTGACAGTTACAGCGAATTTTACAGAAAGTCTTAAGTGTTGTGGATACTCTTTCTCTCCCCTTATGTTTATTTACTATAACTGAACAATTTCACTCAAATTTGCAAATTAAGCCTGCTCAAAGGCAATTAAGAATTCTATTAAGAACAGTGTTAGCTAACGTGTTCATTAGCAAATAACAATAGACTTGTTATCTTTGGCAATCTATTGTGCCACTTAACGCCATTTTCCCCCACAATTTCATTATTTGTCAGTCAATGGAAGAAAAACAACCGCATCAAATTAAATGACGCCCGTCGGAAACACACAATGGATTTTCCGTGGGAAAAAATCACAGACAAAGGAATAATTTAATGACGATCGCCTGTACTGGTAAAAAGTTAATAAAGTAAGAAATGAAAAGGTGTGATTTCATAATTTTTTCACTCAATAATGATGATGTTTGTGATTTGCCTCAACTGTAAGATGGCCAAAGAAAAAACGGCTACGGAGGGAATGATTTATAAGCTTGGATAGCCGCCTACGCGTAACAAACCAAATAACAGGGCCGTAAGAGGGTCGTAAGAGTCTCCAAAGGAAAAGAAAAGCCGGCTTGACCTAAGCCATTCTCTAACTCACGCCCACTGAGCTATTGACCGCTGAGACGATCAAAATGTAGGAAGTACTGTAGCATCATTTCCGCGAATTGTTATTGTTGCCTGTGCTGACAGCAGTACTATAGAACTGGACTGGAACATTTCAAACACGCTTCTGTTGAAAAGTGTTATTGAATGATTTGATGCCGAACTATAATCTGGAGGAAGCGAAATAATCTGTGTTCACCATTTTAACGACTACGTTAGGTAGCCTTTTATAAAACAGGCTCTTTTAATTTTGAGTAGAGGTTTCTTAAGAAGAATGCGTGAACATGGCTTACATGTGCCCTTATTCTGATGCAGTTCCGATAAACGTGACGGTTTACCAAAAAGCTTGGGGAGTAACTGACGCGTGGGTGATGTGTGAAGACTTTCGAAATCGAGAAGAAACCTTTCTTCCTTCACCTCTCAGTTTTTTTTGTCGTCGCGGTTTTTCTATGATCTACGACAACTTGCGAATTACGACAGGTAAACATTCGTAAAAGAAATCCTTCTAATTTTGAGATGATAAGCGTGAATGTGGCTTACGTGTTCCTTCCTGCGGTTTCGATCCTGGACCAAGACCAAGGGGTAAAGAAACATGATTCTAGAATACGCGGGTCTATCTATAAGAATACTCGTGAAGGAACAAGCCCACGACTATCTGCTCTTGAAAGTGGCCGGCGCGTGGGCCCTCATCATTAAGAGTGTTGCAGGGCGCGTGTTTCACCGCCCGCGGGAAGATTTTAGACGAGCCGAGGAGCTACAAGAGGTTTGCCTGGGGCCTGGCACTAATGATGCAATGCGAGCCAACAATGCGAGCCATGAAGACCCCGTCTGACTCAAGGCCTCGTACTTACCCGCGAGCGAAGAAACGCTCGTCCCGAAACGCTTATCATGACGGAGCAAGCTGTTTTAATTGTACCCGAAACCAGTTTTGAATTTTGGGGTACTTGGGTGTAAAATAAATGTACGCAAAACCATTTTAATGTAGTACCCCTTGCCCTCCCATATGGTTGTAAAGCAAATGATGCAGTCAGTAAATTGAGCAGCGCAAACGCAATTAAATTAAAGAAATCACAACAGCCAATCAGAACTAAGGTTAAAATCACAGGAAGCGAAAGGGACAAGAAGATAAACGCGGTCTGATTGGCGGAGAGAATATTCTTGAGCGAATACTCTCAGCTATTATCACAGCATTTCGACTGCGTTCAGTTAAGCGCTCAACGAATGTAGTTGAATAGAAACTTCTTTTTTTCATTTCTTCTTTTCTTCTTCAACGGTTCCGACGGTGAACATCACAAATTTCATTGTCATTATTTTTTCTGAAGAATAGAGATATTTTTATAATTAAGAATGCTGGATGATAATAGTGCATCTAACGATAAATTTATTTAAAGATTATAAAGATTTTTGATTCACGCTTTAATCAAAAGAAAGAGGGTAAATTCCTCATACTGATTAATAAGTTTGTTGTTCAGTTGGGACATCTCTTGCAGCTTTGATTTTTGCCAGTTCAAAATTCATTTCAGTATCTGAAGGATCTGAAAATGACAATAAAGATGATTTAGAGCCACAACTGCCACTTCAGAATATTAGGAAAATGATTTGAGCAACTTTATCTTTCAGGAGAATAGCAATGTAATGGAGCTCTTCTTACTTATTTTTTCTCTGGAAATCAAGTTCAAGTTCAAACATTAAACCAGTTTAAATTTAAAAAAAAAACCAGTTTTTGTGTGAAAATTGTCATTAGGAAGGAACTACTTGCTGACAATAAAACTTGCAAACTGTTGCTACAACAGTTTCCCAAAACTTATCGCTAATATTAATAGTAACAATAAATATTCCTTTACTTGTATAGGTAACAAAGTCACAAGTTTTTAAACCCAAAACTGCCATGCCAGTCTGAACTTGGAAATAATGTAGATGATTTTTGTTGAGAAAAAATTCCCATTTTCATCTTTTTTTCCATCAACAGTTGGTAGCAGGAAAGCAATTTCAGAGTCAAGGTCCTTCCTTAAAAATGGATAATTTATCCCTATTTCTGTAGGGTCACAACACTGAGATTTTCTATTACCATTTAGACTTGCTCCTATCCAAAACTGCCAATAATTAGGAGACCTGGCTCCTGAAGATCAAATAAACAATGCTGTTTTTCACTGAATTTTGAGTAGTAAAATTTTGGATTTTCTTCTTCTATTGTTCTATGGTTTCAGGATACACTTGGTTTTCTTTAAATTCTTTCTGTTCAGTGGTATTTTTAACAGTGAGTAATACATCAGTATGAGGATCTTCGTCTAAAGTTTTTTTTGGCAGTATAAAGAGATTTGATTTTTTCCCCATAACTAAAAGGTGTCTCATCTCATGCAGGTTTTGTTGCTGTGTTGTCCTATGGATGTTTTGATTATAATCATTCTATTATTGTCTGAAAAGGTCTAGGCTTTTAGAAATTCTTCAGCAAAGTTTGAAAGGTTGTCCTCAAATAGCTTATTAAAATTTATCTTGAGATAATTCTCAGCTTGAGATAATATGGTCAGGTGAGATATATTATCAAGATGTGAAAAATCTTCATTTTCATCATAGTTTACGGAAAATGGTAAAAAAATCAAGAATACCAGAACAAAGATCAACTTTTCTGAGTTTCTTTGCACAAAAAAAAAATTTTCTAAAAGTAGACGTTATTTCCTTTCTACCTTTCATGGGTCTAGGATTAAAGGAATCAATCCAAGAATCATCATATAATGTTATTTTTCTTTTCTTTTTCATCAAAGAGCTTTTGGAAATGTAGGGACAGGTTTGTGTGTAGGTGTTGGCAAGGGGTTCCAATATGCAGACATAGAGGTGACAGACTTTCTTTGATTTGAAAGAAAAACATCAAGTTCAAACAAAGTTGCACCTAAATGTCTGCATCCTTGATCAGCTTCACCTTGGCACCTACAGAATGCAAAATACACAGACCTAGTTGAGTCCAAAACAAACCAGAGCCTGTATAGTTTATCGCCTTCTTGAGTTTTTTTCTTTCTGAGTTGGTATAACTCCAGCTACAAACACACAAAAAAATACTGCCATCAAGGTCCTTTGTAGCATTTACTCCAAGGCTCTGAACATGGCCATTCGTACATAGATTACACTCTTCAAATGAGCACCAGGAGGATAAAATGCTTTTATCCTAATCAGTTTTGCTCATTATTAGATCATTAAAAATGTCCATTAGTCCAAATGGAGGGAGCTGGGAGAAGACACTGGACAATGATGCCATTTGGAAGGGGTCCAAAATTTTTGTCCCACTGGAAGCATGAGGCATCTTAACAAACATTCATCAATGAACTCACTTTCAAAGTCAGGGTCAGTAGGAAGGTCCACAAAAGCAACTGCTCTAACTAGCTGAATAAGTTCAGGTTTGTGGTAAATGGAGACTTGAACATGCTGGGCAGAAATAAGTGCTTTAATTTGTTTCACATCCATTTGGTCAAAGTTGGGATTGGTAGATGTAGTGATGGCTATTTTTGAAGGTGGTTGCTTGGTAGTGTTACATGCAGTTTTGTCTGTAGATGTTTGGGAACTGGTTATGGAAGAATAAGATGGACAATGAAAAGGTGCAAATGGGTCGCTTGAGGAGCGATGCGCAGCTGAAGATGTCCAGTTTCAGCTAAAGCTCCCGTTATCTTGCTGTTCTTGACATGATCTTCCACGGAGTTCGAAGAGAAAAGTAGCGGCTCAAACACCTTCGTTTTTCTCTCTATCAAACTAGAACTCAACGTGCGGATTTCTTCATGTTTCTCATCACTTATTTCATCATTCCAGAGAGTAATAGCTCGGTAAAAACAATTTCCGTCTCCTCTGACAACGACTTCTCTCCTTTGAGGATTTAAAATTCTGGAAGCCATAATTTGCGTATAAAAGACGTTAGCTAGTATTAAAATTGGCTGTACACACGTCAATTTTACTGAAAGTAATTTATGGGGCAATTTCTTCTGATTTATACGTAACTTTGTGATATTTCAAGACCATTACCAGATGTCGATTTCCCAATAAGCCTTACGAAAGGAGAGAACTTTATCGGTAGATTTTAACACATATTTCATGGTTATTTTAGAAAAAAACTTACACTTTCCACGTATCAACATTGCTTTAATCCTTTCCTGATAAAACGGCTGCAACAAAGTGCTGAATTCTCTCAAAAATCATTTTTTGGGACGCCTAATTCACATTTCGCCATGAATTCGTTTGTATCAATTTGCGTTGTTTACCCTGTGGCAAACCCATAACCCTTTGCGCAGAGCAGAGAGATTTGATTTCTGGCACCTCCTTCATTTATTGGAACCGTCTGAATTTTCTGTAATCCTGACATCACTGCGATAAATCATGGCTGAATTGGTAAGGTTGAATCAGTTAGAAGCCGAAAGACATGTTGAAGAGGACAGACCACCGAACCGATTTCGGTTGTACGTCGGTCTTGGTATATTGGGAGCAGTTGTGATTTTCTTGCTCGGGTTTGTCATCGGTTACTTTGCAACGAAAGCCGGTCCAAGTGAGTCTCCTGCAATGGTTCCCACAAGCCCTGTTAACGTCTTACCTACGACCTCACCTACGGGAAAGGGGGATGAATCTAAATACAAGCAACTGCATGAAATGATGGTCGATTCACTCACAGCTGAAAACGTTGAGGAATTTTCCCGGTAAGTTGCACCTTAGTTTTATAACTTTTTGCTGCATCACACTTCCGCGCGACGCGGTGAATATTGCAACTTCGC